GTTGTCGCAGCAACGGCCGGGGCCTCCTCCTGCTGCTCCTGTTGCTGCTGCTGCTGCAGCAGCACCAGCAGCAGCACCAGCAGCAGCAGCAGCAGCAGCAGCAGCAGCAGCGGGGGTATATGCCTCGCCGAACTGCTGCAGCAGATATTTTCTTCTGCAGCCAATGAGACGGCAGTAAGAAAGACAAGATCTGAGCTTTTCGAGTTGTTTGTCTTGCTGCTCTGCTGTTTCTCTTTTTAGCTGCTGTAGGTCTTTTGTGGGGCGGCCAGCTGCTGCTGCTGCTGCTGCTGCTTTCAGCTGCTGGTCCCGCTGCTGCTGCAGCACAAACTGCAGCAGCCTGTAATCAGAAGGAGAGAAATATAAAATGCTCCGCGCCGGCAGACCGTCGCGCCCTGCTCTCCCCGACTCTTGATAGAAAGCTGTACATACACCCCAACAAACCCTAAACCCTAAAACCTAAAACCTAAACCCTAAACCCTAATGAATGTAAATGTATAATCCACACAACGCCTTCATGCTATTATATCCTTAAAAGCGAGTTATACTGTTGGATATATTCTACAGGGTTTAGGGTTTAGGGTTTCTAAGAGGGTCTAGGGTTTATGGTCTATAATAGGGTTTAGGGTTTATAATAGGGTTTACGGTTTATAATAGGGTTTAGAGTTTATGGTTTATAATAGGGTTTAGGGTTTAGGGTTTATAATAGGGTTTAGGGTTTAGGGTTTATAATAGGGTTTAGGGTTTAGTGTTTATAGAAGTGTTTAGGGTTTAGGGTTTGCCTTCAATAGTTTTTGTGATAGAGAAGTGAACAACGAAGCGAACATGGGGGTTATCTACGCCCAGGCCGAAAGCCACCGTGGCCACCAAAACCCTAAACCCTAAACCCTCGCTCCATCGGCTCTGAAGGGTTTTGCGGGTTTTCTCTGTGAGGCCCGCGTGATAGGCTGCAGACGGTATACCCTGGCGGTTTAGATAAGAAGCCAGCTACACACATATCATACAAATAAATATAATAATATATTATGTTGTATTGTTATATAATATAAATTTATTATATATTATTTTATAGTATTATGTAATATAAATTTATTATATATTATATTATAGTATTATATAATATTAATTTATAATATATTATATTATATTATTATATAATATAAATTAAGAAATAATTTAATTAGTAATAATAATAATAAAGAAATATAATACACAAACTACAAAAATTTATAAAAATAATAAATAATATAATATAAGTAAAATATATAAAAATAATAATATATAATATAAGTAAAATATAGCCCCTGAAGGTTTATATAAAGAGCCAACTATAAACATATTATAATAAACAAAAAAATAAAGAAATAATATAATTTATAATAATAATAATAAAAAACAAATATAATAAACAAAAACATTAAATAAATATAATAAACAACAACAATGATGAAGAAATAATATAATATTAATATATATTCAAACGCAACAAAAAAATAAAACAAAAAAAAGAACAAAACAATAAAACAACAAACACAAGAAAAAAACAAAAACAAATAAAACCAAAACAAAGACAAAAGCAAAACCAAACAAACACAAAAACAAACACAAAAACAACGAAAAACAACAAAAACAACAACAAAAAAATACATATATATATATATATATATATATATATATATATATATATATATATATATATATATATATATAT